TCTTTCCCTCTTCCCGGTAGCCCCTGTATCTTCTCCCCTTTCCCTTCTTTCCATCCCACCCACCAGCAAACCTACCTTTTGTCTGTCCCTCCATCTTAAGCTGCATTGATCATTTATTTACTTCATTTACACACTGCCTTTGTTTATACTTCAACCACTACACCACACTGTCTTACATCAGTAACTGCTATTGAATACTAGAGAGCAGTCGGGCCTGCCAGTGGTTGCTGCCATGCCTAGCCTCAATAAATCCTCCCTCAAAGATGAAAAACAAGCCTGGAAAAGGCTCTGCCCCTTCCTCCACCCTTTACTGGCAGAAACCTGGGCTTGAAGGCTGGCAGTATTTTTCTGGTTGGTCACTGCAGAAGCCATTTGTTTCTTAAAGGTGCTGCTTCATCCTCCCTCAAAGATGAAAAACAAGCCTGGAAAAGGCTCTGCCCCTTCCTCCACCCTTTACTGGCAGAAACCTGGGCTTGAAGGCTGGCAGTATTTTTCTGGTTGGTCACTGCAGAAGCCATTTGCTGCTTAAAGGTGCTGCTTCTATATTATATTATATTATATTATATATTAATTATAGTATAGTATAGTATAGTATAGTATAGTATAGTATAGTATAGTATAGTATAGTATAATGAGAAAGAGAGAAGTGTGAGGTCTGGATTTCTGAATTCTGTTTTTTTAATAGCGCAGTTGTTGTTCTACTTCATGTGTAAAGCCAATGGTCTCTTCCTGCTCCCAAAATATATATAGCAGATTTTTCTACAAATCTGGGGTTTTTCTCAGGTTTGCGGAAAGATCTGTTTTGTTTGTTTATTGCTCCAGTATCTGGATTTAAGTATCCCCAGATGAAGACATGTTCAGAACTAGATTTTTTCCATTCCAAGTACAGGTTGTGGCAAACCCACCCTAACCAAGAGCAGACATGCCGAGTTGTGATCCCACAACAACTTCACCTCATTCACTTGTTGATTTACAGCCAACAAGCTGACCTAGCAAATTACTTCTGTGGATGCCTTCAGAACTGGGATAAGGGACAGGCTGAGGAGAGTTACATACTACTGTAGGCTCACCTCCTTCCCTTTGGCTGTGCTTATGCTCAGAAATCATGTCCACTTGGTGTTATCTTGCTTGCATGTCTGATTCTTAAAGGAAACTGTCATATTTTAAGGTGATATATGAAAACAATTAAACATCCAAAAAGCTAGCGGTGTACTGTCAGATTTATTCCTTCCCTAGTACCATGGAATGGGAGTGTGAGATCTGGCTTTCTGAATTCTGTATTCTTAATGCAGTTCTTGTTGTTTTTCCACTTCCTGTGTAAAACCATTGGTCTCTTCCTGTTCCCAAAATACCTATGAAAGATGCTGCTGTTGAGGCTGCTCTACTCCATCCTGTTATTGTGTGGCACAACCCCTGCATCTCCTTTGGCCAAAAAGGCACAGTTGTAGTATGTGTTGCTCAAGAAGTCTTCAAAAGCAAAACTAAAAGTCCAAATAAGTGGGAGTGTTTCCTGAGAGCTATGTGGTAGTTCATTTAAGAAGTCTGGGAAACCTGTAGTTTAGGAATTTGAATTTTTTTTGCTTTGCAGAGCTGCAACTGTTACCACTAATGGCCTGCCTGGTTGTTTGGGGAATTTAGCTATGCAGCAGGATAGGTAGGGTTGCCAAGTCCATCTTCCACCCCCAGTGGGGGACTTTGGGGGCATTCC